ACGTACAATTCACATTTATCCATCTGCTAAATTGAAACCCTAAACACGCTTTTCACCAACTCTAACTTTTCTTCCTAGCCCTTGTGATATTTGCGACTATTGATATATTTGTGACTCCACTCCCCATTACAAATGCCATTACATTAGGGATCCTTGGCACAATAAGGCCGACGTGACGTCACGTGATTCAAATGCTCTTCAAGCCTAATCTTCTTTCCAAGAGCCTACTCAAAAGTTGGCAGGACGGGAATGGCAACTAGTTCTGTGCATGAGCCACAGAAATTTTTACCTTTTTTATATTCTATGATATTGTTTCTAGTAACAATTTCTTTTTAAGGGTAACCTCAATGCAGTTTATATTCTTAATATTCAAAGTTGCAAACTGACTGTTTTGTTTAATTGCTATTTCGAATGATAAATATAATCTCTATAATTTTTGTACTCATTTCCAGATGTGCACGCCAATCCATGCTTCTACAATGTGGGTAGCTCCAATGGGGTCATCAGCTCCAGTTTTACCAAAAACTACTCCATGTACAATTGCACGTGGATCATTACAGCACCATCGAACCACACCGTCAAATTAAACTTTACTATATTCAACCTCCGCGGTTATGGTGCAAAGACCTACAGGGGCGAGATTGAAGTATATGATGGAAAGAGTAAAAATGATACCTTGCTGGGTATTTTTAGTGGATCAAGACGCCCATTCATCGTACAAACAAGTGGTCAATTCATGATGGTAACCTTTAAAAGGTATCATGAGGAGGCATTTTTTAACTTCAAGGGAGTCTACTCTTCAAGCTCAATAAAAGGTGAGCTACATGTACCAAAAAAGAATTAAAAAATGTTCGAAGAAAATTCATTGGGGGTGAATAAGGAAAAACCTATTTGGTTAGAATAGTTGAAATATATCATATTAATTTAAAATCATCAGAAAACTCCCAATAATAAAGTATAATTTCTTCTATATAGGTAAAAAATGAAGAATGTCTTTTCTACGTGTCCTTGTTATAGGGCCTCTTGATAGAGCAAATGACTCCTTACATTACTCACAGAAATACCCTTTTTGTATTTGGTGTCTAGAATCTTTCATCACTGTTCTGTGATACCCGTTGACTGCCATAAAAGCTTTTCTTTAGTTCTAAAGCAAGATTACTTCCAACGGAAACTACCAAAGTAAAAGGACGACACTTTTCTACGGTTACTGTATAAATTGCTTAGATCTTTGGGATTAAAACTTACAGTAACAAACCTTTTTAGTGGTAAACAAAGGACAGCTCCCTTATTCAAACATATAAAAACAAGATGCAGGGCAGAATCGTGGCGGCTATAAGCAATGCTATGTTTCCGTCGAGTTTACAAAATACGGAAACACGTCATCTCGTCCTGTGAGTGGATCCCTAAAAATGAAAAGCTTACGTCAACATAAAATGCACCGTAAAGCTTAAGTCTCCTAAAGTGGCCATTAAAAACATTAATGTTTTACGAGTAACGTCAGGTTGGAGACGAGATGTCTTACTCTCAAATAAGACGTTTATTAGTAAATAGGTTGTTTACCATGTTTCATTCGCAAAAATAACACTTGGAACGTTCCAGAACCTCACAATTAAGCCTCTAGATCAGAGATTTATGGCACGTCCACTAACTTTTAAATATAGTTTCGGTTAGCAAGGCCTAGACTACGATAATTGATGACCGCTGACAACAGTCATCAACAATGTTGGCCGCCTCTTTTGAAGTTGCCTAGTTTTGTGTTATTTGCTTCCTTTTTGTGTTTAAATCATTAAGTTTTTTCCTGTATAAGTGTTACTGTTGGTGTCTTCCTTTTGAAACATGAGTGCGTCAAAGAAAGGAGGAAGGAAGTATGATGTGTATGACGATAGTTCTGAATCGCATGTGAAGGACTGCCTGGAAACAATTCGGCAGGATGTGGAAACCATAGAGAACAATTAAGCAAAATTCAAAGTAGACTCGAAATCTTCCAACAAAAGCTTACTGAACGCTATGATTTGTGTTGAATCATGTGTTTGATATCCGTCGATGTTTCGATAACTTAGAAATAGAGCAGGCTTTTCCCAGCGGCGAAAAAAAGTCTCAGGATCGCGGTCCAAAAAGCAAGAGCACTATAAACACCTTAATAGTTTTGAGTTTTATCGCTTTAAAGAAAGTTGTTTCTTTTTCTCAACTTAAGAACTCTTCTTGTGTCCTTTACCTTACTATTTTCGGGTACTTTTTTACTATTGCCGTGTCTATTTGTACATAATTTTCCGGGAAAGAAATAACAGATTCTAATACAAACGTTTATCACGTTCATTAATTTGTTTTATTGTTCATTCAAAATATTTCCCGGATTATGATTGGCTAAAAGTACGCGCATAATTCACCACAACCAGCTACTGATGACAAAGTTTGAAAGAATTTTGCGATTAATGAACCGATGACGTCAAAAGTGCAGCTTCCATGCAGGTTAATGCACCGTTAACTAAGAAGCCCTGGGGACGGAGTTGAGTTGTTTTGGTTGTGAAAACAAAAAAGAAGGACATTTCGCTTGTTTCAAGAGTAAGAACTAGGCGAAATAATAGCTAAAAACATGGCAAGAACAGCAAAAAGACAACTCAAAGGGCGACATCTGCTATTTGGAGAATATTTGCATAGCTGAACAACCCTAAACGTGCACTATCGAAGATGAACCTAACATCGATGGAGGTAAGCATGTTTTAGCTATGTTTTTAAACTAGGAATTATTTTGAATAAATAATAAAACAATTTTTGAATTCGGCTTTAGTACCATATGAAGAATTATGGAGATCTCGGAGGGTGTTATCCCTCCTTGATCTCCATAATTCTTCATAAGATACTCAGCCTTATTCATTAATTTGTTGTAGAATATCTGTGAACAGAATGCAGGAGTTGTGAAATCAGGCCCCCTGGACGCGTTGCTAGTCTATCGCAGGGTTACCCCAGCAGTTTGTCGCCGGTACCCATTGTTTAAGAGGCACAATTTGGAGTAAATTTCCTTGTCCAAGGAAACAACGGGAGGGGTGAAGCTTGACACACAGCCACACACGCCTCCACTGAATTTTCCAAAGCATGTGCTAAACAGCTTGCAGTATCTCACGCGGTCTCTGTAATGATTATTTCTCGAAGGCAAGACGTAATGGGTTTGCCTATGTTCCTTGTCATTTTGTCTCCAAAAAAACGATCGCGCTCACTTTATAACGAGAAGCACAATTTTCCTCGCCATTTAAGACAAGTATTGCTTATTTGTATATATAGATAAGCCGAAGATAAGGATGCCGTTGTCCGTAGTACGCAGTGTACCAGAGCATTATACCTGGTTCATGCTGGAAGGCACCCCACCCATTGAAGCTTGGTTAAACAACTCATCTACACCTTTGGAGGGTGGGCCAGTGGTGAAAGGACTTAAATTCACTCAGATGGGAAACTATACAATTTTGGCAAAAAGTGAATCAGGAAATAGTTCCAAAACGGTTGACGTTAACGTTATGGGTAAGTTTTTTGTCTCAAGTTAATATGTTAATATATCCAACCATATTTCAGTACCAACCTGTGATAATTGTGTTATTTTTTGCTCATATTGAGCGTTTCTCCCGATCGAACGAGTCAACTTTGTTGCTTTTGAACGCACCGATGGTGTATTTATTCAATGTAGTGAAGGCGTTTTCAATATGGTAGTTTTCATTTTTACAGCGTAGGTTAATGAACACATTTGGTTTAGAAATCTACCCTTTCAGTTGCCTCATCCACGTTTCGCTTGTCATCTCTTACCTGAGACTAGATGCATTGATCTCGCAGATTGCAGTCATTTATGTCAGAGCAATGGTTTTATGAATGGTTCCGGTCAAGTAACCAATGATCATGACTGCAGTGGAGGCAATGCTACATATATTTGGAAGTGTATACCAACAACAACTACTAATTTGTAAGTGAATCTCCTAGCTTAAGGACTCGTAACTACTGATTTTAATAAAAATGCTCAGTGGCAGTGAATCATGCATCAAAAGAATAAAAACGTTTAAAAGTAAACGCCCTAAAAATCGTTTAGCTTTGAAAAAGAGCCTCCTGAGGTTTCTATTAATTAAAATTCAAAAAATACATTTGGGGTAAAACGGACATCATTATTACTTTCATCATTAAAGAAGTATACCAGTCGATGATGGTTTTTTCCCTTGAGTTAGTTTACAAGTTTATACGACCTCAATCTGATTTTGAATTACAGAATGTTTGTGGTTATATGATTATTCTTCGCCAAGGGAGCGGCCTGTAAATTTGTCGCGCCGTGTACCGCGTGGATCGGACAGCGACGCTCAGCGACGCAGAAACTCGAGTTGGCAATATTTCTAGATATCTCTTGGGTTTCTGCATCCAGTGTGACGTCATGGTGCATTTTCAACACGACTTCAAAATATGTGTGCGCTATCACGTTTTATTCATGAAAGGCTGATGTCTTTATTCATCGTCTGTTAAACCATGTTAACTCTCGGTGAATCGCGATCAATTTCTCCGACAACTGAAAGTGAACGGCAAGCACAAGACAACGTTTCATTCAACAAGTGGCTGGGAATCCTCGCTGGGGAAGATTTACCATCGAAACTCCACTGCAGCGAGAACGGGAACTTGAAATCCAGCGCGAGCAACCAAGAAGACGAGCTCGAAATGGCTTTGAAATACTCGCTTAATACAACTCCACAAGCTTCAAATAGCGTGTATGGCAGAGAAAACTGCTGTTAGTATATTAATCGTACGGTAAGAATTGTCCAGTGGTAGCAAGGCCCAGTGGTCTGGAAGCTGACTTCACGCGCTAGAGGCAATTATAGTGTAGGTTCGAATATCGGCGTGGTTATTTATTTATTGCGTTTTCTTTAAACATTTTTTTTTCTGTTTTGTTTTCTTTTTCGACATATTTTTGCCCTTTGGTTTGTTTCCCCGTATTCTCATTACGGACTATTTACAGCCTCGCGAGATTTTTGCGACAACGTATAACGTATAATCATGGTTCTCAACAACGGAAACCCGTCGTGTGGCAATTATACAACCAAAGGATAACCATGATCGACAATAACAATATGACAATGAGGTTGACCATGGTCAATCTGGCTGTAGCTAAGGGCAGTAGAAACCAATGCACTACTTCCTTAACACTCTGAAGTGGTCTCCGACAAAAACAGAACACACTAAAGAAGGTCAAAGCACAAAACATACTATATTACAGTAGGCATTCGGAGGTGAGACCGCTGACCTGTAACTACGAAGCCGTGCTTTTTATAGGCAAGTTTCCACACTGATTCAGTCTATCCAAGTTTATTGCAGTCTTGAATTACCCAGCCAATTTAAATGATAGAATATCTGCCAGATATTCCTTTCAATTTGACACAAGGATTGAGCCTGTGTATGGGTACCTGCGGAAATAGGTTTTTCAGGTGAAATCGTCGCACATCAAGAATTGTTTAACCTTGTAGGGCTACTACAAAGCTCAACGCAACCACAACAACAACAAAATCGAGAAAATAAACAAAACAAAAATTCCGAACGGGCAGCACAATGTTTGGCAGGCTTGCTTGCCGTCATTGAAAGACTAATGTTGTCATAAGGGATTGAAATGGCTATGCGATAGCTGCATCTCTAAGATCGTCGCGACTTCGATTTCGTCTGCAATGTCCATGGAGAGGCTTAGGTTTTTTTCTTATTTTTTAATGCATAAGGGGTCAAAATGTTTTGCTATTTGTTGCACCAGAAAATAGGTTGTGAGCCATCCAAACAACACCGCCAATTTTAACAGTGTAGGTGAAAAAAGTGTGATTCTACATAGTTTATGATTTGGTGGAACCTGGTACATTTACATTATGGGAGTGAGTCAGTTACATATCCTTAATTCGTGAATAAGGATACAACTCATGAATCTGGACTTAAATGTTTAATTTATTCCACAAAAGATCACTGCGTTGCCATTGGCTATTCATCTTTTGCTGCCAATAAACAAAGGTGAAGAGCTGATGGTCACACCCATCGGCGCAACATTGCCAACCTCGGTCGAATGTGGTTGACGATGAAAAACCATGATAATGTTGATAAGAGACAATTCTGTCGTTGTACAATAGGGGTCAGCGGTGTTCCGCGTGGGCCGTATTATATGTGTAAAACGAAGATGGCTGCATGTGCTTTGAGAATAAAGTGTTGTGTTCTCGAAAGCCGTTATTCCTTTGATGGAAGCTTTCCCAGCCGGTTAACATGGTGTCAGAAGTAGACGAACACGCGCCTAAAGTCAGGAGGTTTCGTCCATAGTACGGTCAGTTTATGTTTGAGAACGAACTGTGGGAGTTGTACGAATTGTTCCCGCCATTTTCGGATGTTATCAAGCTGGTGCCCGTATAAATTGTTTGTGTTTGCTGTTATCATGGCCAACGCTCCAGTGGGTTTTCCTCCCTCAAATGCAAGATGAGCGAGAAGTTCTACACTGTTTTATATTGGATTATATTGATTATTGCAGGGTGATGGGATGGTTCGAGCGGAAAGACAGATGTAAATATGACGATCAAAGCGAGGATGGGGAAAAAACAATGGAAGACACAAAACCTTTGCATGTCAACACTTCGAGCAATTCTGCCTTCGAAAATGAAGAGATTGATTAATCCAAATAACAAAACGCTGGGACTATCCTAAGAAGATAAGAGTGACCCGGTGAAAGTTATTAAAGCCCTCATTAAGCGCTTTGGAGGCAGTGTCAGTGTTCAAGCTGAGCGAACGAAAATGGGACGCATGTTTCAGTCCGAATGAGAATTCATTAGTGCGTGGGAATGTCGAGTGGTGGAGCGAGCTAGATATTGTGAATATGGGAATTTTGAAGATCAAGCATGCCGCGACCGTTTTATTGTTGGCTTGGTGGACGAAACTTTACAAGAAAAGTTGAATACTAATGGTCAGCGTGACAAGAATGGTAACATTGTGGAGTTCCGTACTGTGGTTGAAATAGCAAAGAATTATGAATCCTCCACTAACGCTCGAAGGCTTATGAGGCAAGTCCGTGAAGATCAAGAGCACGTGAATTGGACCGAAAAAGCACCCCATTCAAAGCAAAACAGCACTCGCTCTCAAAGCCAAAGCAATGGCAAAGAGTCGTCTAGAAAACAGTCTGAGTGTTACTACTATGGGGCGACACCGAGTCACCCAAAGGAAAAGTGTCGTGCATTTCTCCTTAAGTATAAGTGCAGAAAATGTGGCAAAGAAGGGCATATAGCTCGGAAATGTTTGAGCAAACCTCAGGACGTGAATGCATTGGATGATTCAGTTTCTGATGATGGGCAAGAAACATATCATTTCTTTACTCTGGACACTCACTTTGTGAGATCGGTATCTGTACAGATGGGGAAAAAGTTTTTCGCGGCGATCAAATTATCCGCAGCAAAAAAATTTTTTACTTGGAAAACTTTGCAATTAGGTACTGCGTCAACAACCAACACCCTTGCAGTGGAGGACCTCCACTGTGTCCAGCAGGGGTTGATATCCATAGTCTAATCAAACCCTCCTCTGCCATCCTGAGTACCTATGGAGGAGGTGTAATAAAGCCAGTGGGGCAAATAGCATTGGTTTGTGAAACTCAAGAAAAGTTTCACACTCTTCAGTTTCAGCTGTTAAATAAGGACGTCATGGGATCAGAGCCACCTCTTATAAGTGGATCTGATTGTGTTAGATTAGGCCTGGTTGAGATAAGAGGAAACACCTGCTCCTTGGATCGTAACAACCCAAAAGGGGGTGCCTCAGAAGTGTGCCAGCTTAACTCGGGACCTCTGCGCGGAAGAGTGGAGGAAAGTGGACCTCCTGATCAGGAAGTCAGGCCCACCTCACTGAATGGTAGTGCAACAGAAGAGATTAATTTGACTGAGGAAACCACCAGCACCTCTCCAGTACATGGCACGTGTGAGGATGTTAGTGTACTTCATCGTGCTGTAACCAATGAAGAAAAAGTTCGTCCAAAGGAGAGCATGGCTAGTGAGGTGGGTGTGTCCCATGTGCCTGTCCCCTGTGGAAAACTGACTAAAGTCATTGTCATGGATGCATTTAAGGATGTCCATACAGGGTTAGGAACTTTGGGGCCGCCCCTGCACATCAGAATGAACCCTAATGTGACTCCAATCCAAGCTCATCCACATCGGTGCCCTGTAGCAAAGGAAGAAAAAGCATCTGACGCAATACGTGACCTTGAAAAACAGGGTATCCTGAAAAAGGTTACTGAGCCGACTGCATGGATCTCCAACAGCGTCTATAAAGAGAAACCCGACGGAAGCATTCGTATGTGTATTGATCCTAGCCAAACGATCAATAAAGCCATTAAAGTCCCAAAGTAACCCATTGCTACAGTTGTATCCTAGCTCCCTGGAGGAAATTAAAGCTGAAACCTAGGCGGATCCTACCCCGTCAATCCTATGTATGTTCGTGGCCCATGGTTGGCCCTCCGACAAATCACAGGTGCCCACAGCACTCCGTCAGTACTATCCGTTTAGGGATGAGCTAGCGGTATACAATGGTGTATTATACAAGTCACACAAAGTCCTCATTCCCGTGAAGCTACAGTTTACTATGCTAAAAAAACTCCACCACGGTCACCAGGGCGGTGAAAGCGTGATTCGCCGGGCTCGAGAAGTAATGTATTGACCTGGAATGCAAGCTGCAATCCTTCAAGAGAGTGCCAAATGTTCATTGTGTGATAGCTATGGTTCGGCCCTCCCAAAGGAACCGATTTTGTCTCATGAAATTCCACAAGGTCCATGGAAATTTATCTCGCAGGACCTATTCAAGCAGGGTGGGCGTTGGTATTCTGTTACACTCGACCACTACAGTGACTGGTTTGAGGTCCATCTGTTGAATGAAGACATCACTGCTGCCAATGTTATCTCAGTCACAAAGGCGCACTTTGCCCGTTATGGTATAACAGATATATTTTTGTCCGACAATGGACCGCAGTATATCTCTCAGCAATTTTCGAATTTTGCCAAGACCGATGGTTTCAAGTTGATTACCCGGTCACCGTATTATGCTAGAGCTACCGGTAAAGCTGAAGCTGCTGTTAAGGAGGCCAAGAAGATGTTAAAAAAATTAGACCTCTCCACTGGTCTCTTGGACCATAGGAGCACTCCGCCTCAGGGTATGACTTACTCCCCGGCACAAAGGTTTCTCTGCCGACGAACAAAGTCTAACTTGCCAATAGCTGAAGCATTGTTGAGCCACTCTGTGCCACCTGTAAACGTGCAAGAAAGGTTGGTTAGACGGAACAGGATCCACTTAAGACCTAATGAGCCTCAGGTCCCATGTGACTCACAACCATTGCCAGAACAACCAGTAATAGATAGTGGTGTGGATGTCGGAAATGCTTCGGAAACCATAGTGCCTAACCCCACTTCAGAGTCCACGACTGAGAATTCACTTCCACCAGTGCAAACCTCGCGTTATGGCCTTCCAATTAGACGACCAAAGAGACTGGACCTTTAAAACTGGAGACTAGAGTGCAGTATGGTACTTGATGTTGACTATTATCTGACATTGCCTGTTCACATTTGTTTGTGTTAATGACTTATTATGTTCTTTTTGTTTTTTTTTTCATTTTTCGAAACATATTAACATGTTAACAGTTTTCTTTGAAAGGGAGGATGTTGATAGGAGACAATTCTGTCGTTGCATCATAGGGGTTAGCGGTGTTCCGCGTGGGCCGTATTGTATGTGTAAAACGAAGATGGTTGCATGTGCTTTGAGAATAAAGTGTTGTGTTCTCGAAAGCTGTTGTTCCTTTGATGGAAGCTTTGCCAGCCGGTCAACAATAACATGCACAACCTGTTACCGTTATACTATTGCGACAGAGGGAAAGACTACTGCTTTTTCGCATAGTAGGCTTGTTGCTATACGAACATTTCGTACCGTAAGGCCGGTACCGTCGCGGCGGGCCTTACAGCCTTTTTAAAGTCCATAGAACGCCTTCACACTGCAATTTTTTTACAGATTGACAATTTTAATATAATTTGATTTTACTTGAATTTGGATTTTAAAGAATGCACAGGATGTTTTGTTAAAATATATACTTTTTTCGCTTAAAAACAAAACATAAACAGTCTACCAGTTAATGTGGGCTATATATTTCAATTTGCTGTAGGAAATTGTCAAACAGCAGGATCGAGGAAATCCCGCACGGAATTTTCGCAGGCCTCTCTTCATTGCAGATTTTGTAAGTTTATCACATTTAATTTTGTATTTGTAGTTGTTTAGATCCACATTGGCTAAATCTTGTGACAATTAATTGCTGCAGCTTGGACATATAATCTCCTAAATAGCAATAGCAACACTCAGTAAAACTGTTCCTTTTTGCCCCATTGTAAAAAATGTGCATTTGCGGCTAAGAAATCAAACATGTACGTTCACCCACACCTGCCAAGGCAAAAGTTAATTTTCCGAAGCAAGGCCTATTTTTAATGACAAAACTTTGAAAATCACTGACAAATAATTAAACGCGCTGACCAAGGAACTAGTCCGGGATTCAAGACCACAATCGAAACAGTGGCGGAATCGCATTAAAGCCCCTTATTTTTTTGGTTAATTTGTAATTGCTTAATTTGCTAATACAACCGCTGACATCATATCTTGTACTTATACAGTTTACATTATCTTCATTTCATGTTCAAATAAATAAAAAAATTGACTTGCTGCTAATGTATGGGTTGTCATAGCTCAGTTGGTAGAGCACTGCAACAATTTTGTTAAGGTGTCTGGAGGACACGCTTTCGTGGAATGCCCCTCTGTGAAATGCCGCTGAAATATCTCTTCCTGCTTAAAGACAACTTTTCTGGACTCCAATCAACCTCTCCATGCAGTAATAGATTTCAGTTTAAGATTGCGTATTTTAGTCACTAGGTTTAGGATAAGCCGTCTATGTGCTTTATCTTTTGAAAATCTTTATCGTCACACTTGAGGTGAAGCCATTTTTGATAAAAGCAGGCCCATGACTCAACAGATCAGGATGAATTTCCCAGAAAAAGACTTCAAAATCAATTCTCATCGTCAAGCAAGTCATGTGTGCACCCAATCAGAACATGACTTTCGTCACGTGTCAACCTTTAGATGAAAGCATGGGTATTTTTGGCTTCAATGCTTAGAAAAACATTCATTAAAAGAGCAAATTTGTCAGCCTGTTTCCCAGTCATATTCTTAGTAAAGAGAAAATGACATTTGAACGTGGGGTGATAGTTTTCCAATAATTAATTATTAATTAACAGTACTTTGTTACAGGGATTTGTCGAACAACGTGGTCAAAGAGCTCGTACCAGGAGTATTTGCAGATCTCTCTTTGTTGCAGTCCTTGTAGGTGTCACAGTCTGCGTACCTGTGTCTTCACGCACATCCACTGTTATAAGTAGAACAATGTGAAATGTTACAGTTACCGAGACAATGAAATTGGTGAAACTAAATAAATACGAAGATATCCACTTAAATTAACTACATTACGTAATAATATAGATTTAGCCAAGCCTAAAAGCGGGGCTCCCGATTTTATTACAATAATAATAATGATAATAATGATGATGATGAAGATCATATTATTCACACTTTTCCCCTCCCTTTCTCTAAAAAAGTGCGAACAGACTGTGCGAAGTCGGACACTGAAATATCGTTTCGAGTTAAAACCTCTTTAGCACACGTTACCCACCGCCCATGACAATCAGGCACCCATTCCTGATCTAGAGAATCATAAAGCAACTGTAAGCGGAACTTGTATTTTTTTTGTAGAGTTTCTTAGAAATTTTCCATGTCCCATGCAGTATGCAAAACTTCCGCAACGAATTTGGACCCGCGATTTAAAACAAATTCGGCCACGTCTGTTTTACCTTCAAGTCTTTGCTCTTTACCAAATGCAGGTAACTCGGTATACGATTTCCTTTTTTTGGCTACTACAATTCGGCACGTTCATACGAAGACATTCGTTTTTTATGATTACTATTTATGTTATTTTTCTGCCCTCGACCTTGGCTGGTTTCTTCATTGCAATCTGTAGAGTCATGACGAACCGATTCCGCGCCCTGACGTACGGTTGAATGTGGTTTATTGGCGAACGATGCCTTCGTAGTTTTAGGGAGCCGATCACTGAGATCCGGGTGTCCAGGACTTTCAACAAACTCCTTGCCTTGCTTGGTCACATATTTCCAGGCACTGAAATAATTTCTGTGAATGTCTGAAAAATGAACGGATATGCCACAGCGTTCTAAAAGAAACTTTTTGCTTGAAAGTCTTCGCTTGTTTCTGTTTAGTTTTAAGGCCGTTTAAAAATAACTTCCACCGGACGCTGGATGTTCTTCCATGCAGCAGGACCAGTGCATGATTTTGTCTGGTCTATCATAAAGCGAATACAAAACAGCCTCTTCAAATGATAAAGTTTGTGCACACTTCGCACATCTATTTTATCGTTGGGATTAGCTGGTTAACACGAATTGTCCAAATCAGCATATTCCGTACCCTCTGATGACGATGAGTCAGATTCATAATCCCTTATAAAATCCATGTCGTAATAACTAACACTGAGCAAGCAAGAAACGTGAGCAAGTGAGTCGTGAGGAAAACAATGTCCTGACACGTGACATTGTCGTAAAATTTCACCCCCCCCCCTCCTTAAAAAACTGGTTTTACCTCTGCCTCAAGACAACTATGGACAAGCGGGATATATATACCCTACCTGTTAAAAACCTCTGACCGATACGTTAATATTGACCGACTTTCCCGATTTATCCCTCTATCATTGGGGGTGTAAAGCCTTTTTTTACTCTCAGACAATAGGCGACAAAATTAGCTGAGACACTTCCGAAAAAAAAAAATAGATCTCATGAGCATGTTTTTTTTTGTTCTCATCAAAACGGGTGTGAAATACCTTTCAATGGCACACCTTCCCCCGCCCCTATTCAATGTTGTACCACTGGCCACAATGTTTGTGGGCAATCGGAAACGACCCAAAAATGTCAAGGGGGGAGGGGGCGGGGGCTCAGGGTACCTCAAAACACCTCTTTTTAGGAAAATGTCAAAACAATTTTACCGCCGATTGCAGGTAAACACAGCTTACCCGAAGTGAACTAGACGTCATACACTTCCTTCCAGACGTATTAACTTCAAAGATAAAAAGTCTCTAATCTTCGACTTCGTGTTAAGCTTAAGCCTGTCTCAACTGCGAGCGATCGCTCGCAGACATGTATCATATCGGCAAAAACATCAATACCGCTTCTTCTTCCACTGGGGATTCCACGAGGATCGATTTTGGGTCCATTATTTTTTTGAATTTACATCAATGATTTGCCACTGTCTTTACAAAATTCTGAAACTGATACGTATGCCGACGACACTACCATGAGGCTCTACCATCTGGTCAAGCGGTAACGCGTGTGAAAGTATACAACAGTCATTACAGGAAAGTCTCCAGAACGCAAATTGCTGGTTCAGCTTTAACGGGATGAAGCGCAATGTCAAAAAACAATGCAAAAGTTAACTGGAACTGCTCAAAAGCTTCGTTGTGCAAAACCCTTTGGAATTAGGATCGACAAATATCTCACTTGGAATCCCCATATTAACTACATTATTAGCAAGCTGAACTGCAGAATTAGCCTGCTCGAAAAGTGAAATCTGGACTGCGGGAAATTATTGTATAATTCCCTCTCAATTATTGAATACTATTGTACGGTACGGGGCAACTGTTCCAAGGAACAGTTGGACATATTTTTACGATTACAGGAACGCTGCGCCAGAATGATATTAGATGCTAATTTTCAGGATAATTCGGGAATGTTATTTACTAAATTAGATTGGCTTCTAATTGACGATATCATTCGTGCAAGAAAACTATCTCTTCTCCATAAAATCTGCAATGGCTGTGGTCCAGAATATCTTTCCTGCTATGTTAACTATGTCAAGAGTAGCCATGATTACAACACGAGAACCTCAAGAAGAAATTATCTTATCACCCCTAAGTGCAAAAAAAATTCAGGCCTCAGAACATTCCATTCCAGTGACACTCGCCTGTGGAACAAAACTGAACCATCTCTTAGAGACACGCTTTCACAGAAGCGCTTTTTAAGGGACCTCAAAAGGAAATAAGGTACATTGTTTAAGGAAAAAAAGGCCAGTACGCCATCAGAATTATGGAATAATGCTGAAGGTAAAGAAATACTAACACAAGAAAACCAATATGGCGTGAAAAATATACCAGTCATCCCTTGTTTCTAGCGGCTTCGTCGTTCGCCCCTCGCGGGTGTTCGCATTCTACAGTATCCAAAGAAAAATAAGAGACTGCTCGCAGTCTAATCTTGATGACGCCTTTTCAGTGATTGCGATCTGGACAGAATTATATAATAAAGACGAAACGGTAAGAAATTGGTTCTTTCAATATCATCGAGTATAAAATCTTTCAAATGATTTCTAATAAGCTGATTAAAAGAACGGTACGTTTGTACTGACCTGCTCTGATTGCGCACTAAACGTGACTATTCTGGTGACCAGGAATGCGAGCTGGAAACATTGTCAAGAATGACAAATAGACCTACCGTCGATGACGAGTTCTGTTTTTCTCTGACTTCTTTTTTTCCATTGTTCAAAATCGAATGAAGAAGAAGATTTTAGAAAAGCGACCCAATTATACGAAAATACGGTGGGCGTAACTGTAGACACACGACACATCGAACTAAAAGGGGAACCAAAGGTCAAACATCTCAAGTGATTGACATGCAACTTTGCAGGCTGTCAATTTCGTGGTATAGGATTGGCTGTACGAAAAGAACGCTACTTTTCAGGAGTTTTATTTCCGGGGTTTGCCGCTTTGGATTTCACTGGTTTCGAGGGGATTCCAGTGTTTACGAAGGGCAGAAAAGTTGAAATCGTTTCTTTCGTCACCCGTTTTTATGGAATCATTTAGCAGCTACGAGTTATTGATTATTCCGAGGTTAGATGGTGTTATTCATAATTCCCGATTTTCTAACTCCAAATATTCATTATTCATTTTCTTTTAAACCCCGTTATTCATTATTCATTATTCAGCTTCCACCCCCGAATGTTAAGATACTCTTCATTTGTTACATCTAGCAATAGCTGCATGTTACCGTGAAGTGAAGAAAGAGAAAACGAGACTGGTATTTTGATATAAGATCAAGTTCCTTTACATAGGCGCAAAGATGATCGCACACGATCCTTTCACATACTTTTCATAAAGCAGATAAGACCGAGATTGACCTGTTATTCTGCGGGTCCGTATGGTAATTTACTTCAAATACAGGTAAATTTTTGGCCGTTTTCCATTTTTAAAGGAAAATCCTCAGTATTCGAACTTTTACTGATGATAGCTGACAAAGAAGCGGTAATGACTGTTATGTCGTTTAGGAGATTGTATAATTTATTAACAAATATGTCACGGTGCCAGGCATTTCTGGGCAATAGTGGTGTCCAATGAAATTTCGCAAGAGCATCACTAGAAAATGCGCGTGGAGGAAGAACTAAAATAATACGGGGAGTTTTATTTTGAAGCGCTTGCAAGTTTTCCATTAATGTCGAGTTTTCTCGGTCGTACCAGATGATGTCTCCATGATCAAAATGTTGTAAAACAAAGCTATTGATAAAGGTCAACCTAGCGCTAAGAGGTAAATAAGCTTTAATCCTTCTCAGAAGACCAAGTTTCTTATTGATCTTACTGCGAATGTGTTTAATGTGATAATTCCATGACAATTTCTCATTAATTACTATGCCAAGATATGAAAAAAAAACTAACTTTATGCTCTGACAAGTTATAACTATTATTATTTGCTTAAAGTAACATTGCGCGTGCATCGCAAGCTTTCAGCTACCTGCGTTTGTCGAATGAAAAACTCTGACGAACATATGGGATAAATTTGCCACGATTGTGGTTTTTAATTTGTTAACAAAAACAATTAAAGACCGTCGTTATCTCGACGGCAAACACTTGAACATGAGACAAAGGTGGGGGTACAAAATCGCAACACAATAGCGCTACTAAAAAATAGGTGAACAGGAGGCTAGATAAACTTGGCATTGCACAAATACCAACTATTAGTACCTCATAATTGTTGCTTTTGTCGAGCAAATTGCCATCAGTAGAAATCGTAGTGGAATCAAAAGAGCTTAAGCAACGACGACGGCGACGGCAACGAGAACGGCAAAAAACAGTAAGTTCATATTAGCAAAACAACAACTTTGCACGTGCATTACCCTTTTTGTACATTTCTTTGACTTCGTTGCACGACTGCGACGTGAAAGTACCGAATTTCACGTTTCGTCGAGGACGGGAACACACGACAACTTTCGTTTTCTTTTCGAGAACTT